ATCTGACCTGTTTGTAGGTGCCCTTTCTGTGTTTATTTGGCCATTTCATTCTCTTTTGGCTGTCTAACATGTCCCTCTGGAAGAAGAGAGTACAGAAAGAAGGGCAGCTAATTAATACCTCCAAATTTTGTTTCTATTTCTAACTCATCCGCAGTTTCCCTTTTCAGATACATTGGGGGAAAATATCAAATAGAGTCTAATGAACTATTACTCCCAGCCAATTAAGACACACACACACATTAATTGTTAACACTGTACAGATTTTAACACCTAGGAAGGCAGTAAAATTCAAGTCAATTAATGAGTCATAACAGATCCTTGCCTTGAAAATGGTTCAGTTTTGGTCAGCCTCACTGTACATTAGACAACTGTAAATCCAGAATGTCTGCACAGAAATGAAAATCATTCTCAGTATAGAGAGAAAAGTCTGAAAAGATTGATAATGTTTACAAGCAGATGTTAAAAAGAAATTATAGTGAAAAGACATTAAACATTTCAATATATTACAGATCACGTAGGTTCTCTGTAAGAGTCAAAAGAAACTTGAAAAGATGAGTTTATAATTTCCAGTAAAAATTTATTGTAAATATTAAAATGAAAGTTATTTAAGAGAATTAAGGAAGATAATTAAGGGAATTAAAAGAAAATACATGCCATTTTACTGTGCTAATTACAATGACAGATATAATCCAAAACCACGTACTGACTCGGATTAGTATAAAAGAAATGTGATAATACCAGATAATTTTGAAAGAACTAGGTAACCATATAAAGTTGGAGGAAAATTTTATATCCTTATATGCTAGTAATTGAATTCTTATTTAGGTATTATTTAAGTATTTCTAGAATTAGAGATTGTTTTATTCCTTGGTTATTCAATTCTTAGCATCCTGTTGTTATTCTTAAGCATGTGCTACTTCCTTTGATGTATTAAATTAGAAAGAATTGTTGTTTGTAAGTGGCAGATTTTCTCTGTTCTTAGTCAACTTTGAAATTAATGAAATTTAATTTCCTATATATTAGCTTTATAAATAATATTTCTCAGTGTTTTTTTCTTAGGAAAATTGATGCCATTCTACAAGCATATGGCAATCAGATACAAAATGTACTTAGTACATAATGCACTGTCTTATTTAAGGTGTCCCTTTTATACAATTTGCACTCCACACATTAATTATTCTATTTAAAATTATTAGAGTAGCCAGTAATTAGTTGAGATTGTTTGTGGAAAAATGTTGGGACTCCAGAATTGGATCATTCTTGTAGATGCCACTAGCTTAAACATATCTGCTCTGTCCTGTTCAAAACTCACTTGGCATTTGTGCTTCCAAGTAATGTGTCTCCTCCAGCACCTTAGCACAGGTTCCTCTTGCATATTTACTTAGGAAAGAAAAGTTTGTACTTGTTTTTATGCAGCCAAAGCTCTCTGCTCAACCAGGGGCCAGTTATCTTCCCCCGGCTCATCTCTCAGCACATAGGGAGCAGCCTACTCCTGTGACTGTAATATTGCTTCCTTAGGGCACTGCCAGCCTCCCTGAACTCCTTTGGCCTTTAGGACTGCCTCCAACAGGATTTTCTAAACCTTATAGAGCCAGCGTCTGTCCAGAAGTCCAAGATGGAATTTCTGCTGAGGTCCCTCCAGAGTTTTCTGAGAATTTCACCGTTTTTGAAATTGTTTTATGAGAATTTCTCTTTCACAATTGCAGTCCCTGAGATGGCCTGCAAGCACCCCATTACTCAGCAGGTCCAGTGGGACACCTCCCCTCTTGAGCTTCCTCACCAGCTGTGTCAGGGAGCTATCTGCCACACACCAGGAGCCTTCTAGACTGTCTGCTTGCTGCTCTGTTGGATTTCCAGGAGACATTTGGCAAGTTAAGGTCCCCCATGAGAACAAGGGCTAGCAATCATGATACTTCTCCCAGCTGCCTACAGAACATTTTGTGTGCCCCTTCATTCTGATAAGGTGCTCTCTAGCAGACTCCACCATGGTTTCTGCCCTCCTGGCCTTTCCCCTGATTCTCACCCACAAACCCTCCACCCTATTGTCACCACCATTAAACTCTAGATAATCAAGGCTGTCCTAACATACAGGGCCACCCCACTGCTTCTCCTTCCTTGTCTGCTTCAAATCTTAATGGAGAAGAATTGAAGGACAGTGGAAGATGCAATGTTTAGATGGGAGAGCTTCATAACAAATTCTAGTACTTTTATTTTTCCCGCTGTGCAACCTTGCAAAGAATCACAAGGAAGTTCCTGTAAACTTAAATGTATTGCTCAATCTCCACCAGAATGCCTTGCAAAGTCAAAAATGAAAGCTGGATTTAGGGAAAGAGAGCAAGTGCTTAAATATTATGTCATCCCCTGGTTTAATTTTTTTTCCCAATTTTACATTAAAAATGGTGTTTCCTTTTGTATCCAGGAGGGATACATTAAGGAAAAAATATTTTTCTTTCAACAACTCTTAAAATTTCTTGGTACAGTCAATACAGGCACCACATAGAATGTGTCAGACAAATATTTGTTTTCAAATTATTGAAAAAAATAAGAAGTGTGTAAGAGAAATTGCAATGGAGTTTGAATTTAGAAGGATAAGCATGCAAAGAATTGCTGTACATATAACAAAATGTTAATATCTCCTTATTCAATATTTATTAAATTTTCAAATATTTTGGGGCATAGAATTTTTTTTTATTGAATTTCTTCCAGACGAATTCACATCTCTAACTAATATTTATGTTTTAATCTGTTGCATGGCATATTGCAGGAAAGATTTCATGTATCACTTCCTTCTCCTTTCCACATTGTTTCTTATCCTTGCTGCTTTACTTACAAGGGTTAAGGCTTGGAGACACAAATTTGGTGTATGGTTCCCCTAACTTAGAGAACTACCATGAGTAACAACAGGAAAAGTAAATTTCTTTTTTTTAAGGAAGTATTCTCTGAAGTCAGTAATCAGTTACATTAATTCAAATGTGTGTTCTCAACTTTTTTTTTTTTTTAATTTAAACATTCTTCTGTAAGTAATTTGCTGTGCTGGTAGAGTTGGCCACTAAAACTCATCAAATTCATGATTTTTCTCCCTGTCATATTTTTTAAGAGGCCCAGGCCTTTCTTCTTGTGTAAAAGCAGAAAACAAAACCTTGGCTGTGTCTGGGACCACTTCTTGCTGGGTGGCTTTCGCTTGGAAGTGTGTTGGCTCCTTCCCTGGTGGAGTAGAAGGGCCTCTGCTCCCAAGGTGGGCAGCTCAAGAGCACAGGGTAGCCTGAACCTGCTCTGTGAAAGGAGAATGTGGACTGACAGATTTATCCATTTTAAGAATTTCCCTGAGACCATTTATTAGAGATAAATAAGGCCTTTTTCATTGCAGTAGTGTGAACGTGGCATTATGTAGGATTATTGTTTCTGCAATATTGTAAACATTTGTTCAAGCTTCATCACTGAAGAAAAAGAACACAAATTTGAGAAAAAGAAAAGCCTAAGTAGGAATAACCTCAAGGAAAAAATAGGAGCCAGAGATGAGAATGAGGTCAATATTAACATTTCAGAGCCTTAAAAGGAGTAGATTATATGGAGTACCTAGAATTTTAAAGAGGAAACAAAATGTTACTTTTCTTTTAAGAGGAGAAGAACTTAACAGGAAGATTTATTGAATCATTAATATGGAATATGAGGTAAAAAGTAATAACATATTTGGGAGGTGCAAATGTGGAATAGTGTATTTGGTTTGATTTATTTTTACTCTGCTTTCCTCTTAAGACTCTGTTTTAGGTTTACATGTTAATGGGAAAGTGAACTGACACTCAGACTGAAAGCATATATAAATAATACAGTGTTATTTCTGTATACTTTCTGTATACTTTCAATTCAAGTATTAAATACCCAGAAATGTAAAATCAAAGAATATTCTTGCTTATATATTGACTAGATATAACCTAAAATTAACTGAAGCATGCACATGCATTTTTGAATGAATAAAAATATATAGCTTCTAGAGTTTTGTTTATATTTTCCTTCAATGTGTACAGACTTCAAAAAAAAACCCAAAAAAGCTGACAATAAACTGTAGATTACATTTTTCTTTCTCTACGTGGTAGCCCATAAGCAATAGACTGGTAATGTTACAACTTGCTATGCTAATTTAAAATTATAATGACTTTTTGAACAAAAGTAGAAATACCTGAGCTTCTTGATAGTTAGCAAAAGTTTTTTCTAGTCAAAAGACCTTAGTAACCTGAGTAGTTGATACTGGACATCATTTATGTAATTTTTTTTTTGGTGCTAGAAGATATATTTTAAATAATAAAAATTTCAAAAATACTTTTTTTTCTGAGCCTTCCGTTCACCTTATATAGCTTTGTATAGCAATGAACAGGATTTATTTACATTTTTAGGATGTGCACAAGGGTAAGCATTTAAGCATAACCTTGGTTATGCATGTGCTGTGTAAATATTCTTTAGAGTGTATTCTACACACTGAGTATCCTCTTGGTAATCACATTAATAAACAAAGGACAATTAGTTTTATAGAAACTATCTAATAAATCAGCTAGGATTCTTTTCCCTTGATGTGTAGCCTGGATGAGATCTTCCCAGGAAAATGCTGAATACCCGTTAATGTATATCAGAGTTTGGGGTTCAGCACTTCTAAGTTCATGTGCTGAGACAGAAAAGCAGTTTTGTTTCTTAATCAATAAAGAATACATTCTTCCTGACTGTGGATCAGGAGTTTGGGCAGTGCATGTCTCCTTGACAGCACTGTATTTTGCTAGCTGGCAGCACTGATCACGCTGATGTGTATTTCTTTAATTTCTATTCTCACTTTCAGTGAAGATTTAATTAGACTCTGGTGATGCTTTAGAAGGGGAAGGGGCAGCGTTTCTCTGATCATTGTTCTTTCTAATGCAGAGGGCGGGAGTTTCCTGACATGCAGCATTTAAAACGTGAAAACAGATGTGTGTCTTTAGCAAACTGTCATTTCTGAAACTTAACAAAAATGTTGCTCCGAGGAGCTGGGGAAAGGCTGTGGAGCTGGGCAGAGATGCAGCCTCTGGGTCTGGGAGTGCTGGAGCACTGAGCGCTGACAGCAGCGTGCTCCCCTGTGCAAGTTTCCAGAGAGCTTTTCCTCTTGGCTCTGACACAGCCCAGGCTCCTGCTCGACACAGATGTTGCTCCAGCAGCTCCCAGTAACGCTGCTCCACGGATACAATGTCATGCCCAGAGCTTCGTGGTCCACCTCAGCCTTCTAGGAGGACTCGCTACTGATGAAAGCGAATGCTCAGAGAAGCATGAGAGGCAGGGCTTTATCTGATATTTTATCTCAGCTAGAGTGGCTGCTGAACCGCCACTGCTTGGTATAGTGGTGCTTTACACCACTGCAAATTTCTTCAAAGCAAACTCTTGGTAAAATCCTCTGATTTCCCTCTGATTGCAAACCGGTGTGAAGACTGGAATGATTTGCCTGTTGGAAGAATGTTGACTCTCGAGTGGGAGTCGGAGGGACTACAAACAGTGGGTATTGTTGTGATTATATTTGCATCTCTGAAGCTGCTTCATTTGCTGGGACTGATTGATTTTTCAGAAGGTAAAGTGGTCACTCACAGTTTGTGCTGTTTGTAGGTTTGGTATCTGATCTGCTAAAATAGAGAGCATCAGCTATAAGAACTGTGAAATGAAAAAAGTGAAAGCAACAGACTAAAAACCCTGGTTTGCTTCTGTTGCTTTTGCCTTGTTATTGAAAACAGAAGTAGAAGCTAGCATAAGATTTTTATTTTGCAATACATTTACAACTGTGAGAGGATGTTAATTAAAAAAAGGCTAAAAGAGTGAACAAAACATCTGCCAGTTTTCTTTGAAAGCTGTTCAATGCTACTGAACTTGATAGATTTTAGTTCAGTTCATGTTTAAAAAATGCTTTGCTCTTCTGACTTATGATGCAATTAGAGTTTTCTTCTGTATAAGTATCTGTGTTTTAAAAGCCTGTCTCACAGCTAAATGCAATACACTGTTATTACAGGATGAGCATTAGGATCAAGCCTGCTGTACATCTTTTTAAAAAAAGGCATAGATGCCAACATTAAATGTGTGTATTTAAAATATATATCATTAATATATGTTTTAAAATTCCTGTTGCTTGCTCAGAATCTTGTCTGCTCTCTATTTTATGGGTCATATCATTTCATCTACTCCCAAAGAAGGCTTCACATAAATTTATTAGGACTTTTATTTCTATTTAAAAATGAGGGTTTTTTCACATTTTATAGAAATAAGCTATTTCAGGTCAGTTATAACTGAGATTTTATGCTGTCAACTTTTCAAGTTTTTCACAAAATGTCTACTCAGTCACTGAAGCCCTTGCTCAAAAAATACTTACTTATGTCATTATGTTTGCTCATGTCAGTCCAAACCAATCCTTTTTACTGGGTAACTGTTTTCAGTCATAATCACACAGCCACGGGGAGTACTCCAGTTCTCTGAAACATTAACTTTCCATCATAGAATAGGATCTTTGATGGATGCAGATTCACATAATCACCTCATAAAATTGTTCAGATTGCTGATAAAATTTGAAATCTTTAGCCCTTCTATAGTTACTGAACTACTGAAATAAATCATCTTTCAAGCTCTGTGTGGGGAGAATATATATTTGCTTTGTTACTATATAATGGTTATGGAATTACTTTTTCAGATCTAAACAATGGGTAATTTACTCCTCACAGCATTGCTTACTTTTGGGTTTTTTAATACTCTGGATGTGTAACAGTTGTGACATGTAAAAAATCACGGTGGTTATGGATTAGCTTCAGCTTTATTATATATGGTAACAAATAGAGAAAAAAGATTGAAATGCAATATTGCTCTTTTTTTAGCATATGTAGAGTTAGAGCCTTTTCCTGATTTCTCACTGGTATTGCCATTAAGTTTGTGGGAAAAGGTTTTATGTGATTTCAGATTTATTAAATTACTTTTTAAAAATCCTCCTGGTACAAATTACTCTGATGTTAATAATAATTTCAAGATGATCTATCAATTGAAGCACACCTTTTTGTTCTAATGCACCCATTAGTGTCATGGCATTTCCTCACATCATAATAATTTCACTGAAAAGTACCCAGCAACATAAACCAATCCCTAAATGTAAAAAGATTAAACTTTTTAAGAAACAGTTGATTTATTTATAATTGCAATGTGAGTAACTCTGGTGACTTGAGGGATTTCCTGTTCCCCTGAGGCTGATATTGCTTATCAGCTTTTCCATGTTTGGATACTACCACTACATTAAACAATTCTGCTCCAAATGGTTAAGGAATATTTTTTATGGTGTGTTCAGAACTACTGATTTGTTGTTCACCTACTGAATGCAAGGAAAGGTTTTCTGTTCTGCTCCAAGTAGGAGCACATTTAAACTGCCAGCATTGGTCTGGAAACCAAAATAAGCAATGGGTCCTCCCTATCTACCACACACAGGCAGGTCATGGGTCATGTGCTGAAACAAATCTGTTCCCATAATTAGGCTTTGTGATTCCCTAACATGCTTGTTTTAACATCCCTTATACATTGACTTATGCTACAAATGTCACTGTCAGAAATGACAGCATGCCTGATGTTTGCTATTGCAGGGAAGAGAAGACAGATAAAGGACAAATCCTTACTTCTTAACTGGCTGCAAGTCTGCTGGCTTTAGTTCAGTTATGGTGGAGAAGAGCCTGACTTGCTCTCATCTCCATGAGAAAACAGGAAAACCCAGTCAATCTGCTTAGTTTTACTGAATAAACTGAGTCACAGAATTAACTAGGTTGGAAAAGACCTTTGACATCATCTGGCCTAACCTATATCATTACAGTGTTCACCAATTGGCAGGACAGAGAGAAACCTGATTTTATCCTATGTCCCAAACTAGGGACTATGTTATTCTGATTCATCCATTCTCTACTTTCCAATAAGTAGAAAACAGACCAGAATGAAGATAAAGCTGGCTTCACTGGAGGCAGCCAGCTATTTCAGTTAAAAGGACAGAATTGAATCAATACAACTTTTTCTAGGAGAGATTAAAACTCCCCTTTCCCTCTCCTTCCATTACTTTGAGAGTGGTTTGACACTGACCATTATCTTCCCTCCAACTTCCTTGCCTGGAGCTTTTTCTGCTGGGCAGCTTCACTCCAAAACTTGTGTTTTGTTACTCTGGCTGGAAGGGGAGGAGAGGAGGGAGATCAAACTGAAGCAATGAATCAGAACAGGGCCAGGCTTAGAGGGAATTCATTCACCAGAAACTTGGAGTTGAGAGGAGGCAAAATGAAGGATTCACTTTGGATCTCTGTGTCCAGAACAGCTGTCAAGTAGTAGCTATGCTGAAACTTTATCTAGACATGTGTGAGCAACTTTTTAAAAATCAGGGAACTGCATAAGTCAAAGTCTTTGAAAGGACAAACTCTATTCCTTTTCCTACATCACACACTGGTTGTACCTTGAAATAATGTCTCTTACAGAAATGTTTTTCTTTTACGTGTGAATAGAATCAGCCATTGTTGCAATCTTTTTAGACTCCCTTATTCCTTACACTAATCTCTAACAGTCTCCAGAGCTTGCTGTTATCTTTCAGGTGCTTATTCAGATATAAATGTCATGTTTGGCATGTGAATATCCTATGAACTCCATGTCTTTTGGTTAGTAGGACTGGTGTCTATATGTTTTTAAGCTCAATAGGCTATCAAGAACAGGTAAGAATATTTGATCCTTAGTTTCTCCTACTGTGATGCAAAGAAAAGACCAGTTGACTTGCTCTTATCAATGAACATATTTGGCTGCATAGTCAGCTTTGAGAGTAAGTAATTTGTTGCTTTAGCTACAAAGTGGAAATTGGTTCAGGGGGTAAATAGAGGTAGTTTTTAATCGAGGTAGTTTTCTGCCTTAGAATATATCTACTCTATGCAGGTACAGAGATTTTTTTTTCTATCTAATCTAATCTGGATGGACAGAAGTCACCTTTAGTCCAAAAATCATGTTAGTGAGTTTATCTGTTCTGTCACACAAACTGCTAAAATGTGGTCTCTTTCATAGTTCAGATACTTAAAAGCACAGAGCAGATGTTTTGTCTGTCTGCAACCATCTGCGTTAACATGTTGTTAGTTACCCTTACAGCTTACCAAAACCAGTAAGGTTTAAAATATTTTCTGAAGTGCAGTATGACTCCCACACTTATGATGTGGGGAAAGACATGCTGCTGAGAAATTGTCTATTGCATCATATTTTCTAAGGAAAGGAACACTAAAAATCATGGGTGTTCTCTCCTTCTCTGCACGAATGTGGCTGACACGAATGATCCTAATTTGAATGTCCTCTCCATCCAGTTAAAGCTGTGTTACAAGTCCAGCTTCCAACAGTGTCTCCTATGCTGCTCCCTCTCCTGTATAACTTCTCTCAGGCAAATGGGGTGCAATGTAGCATAATTCCACAATAAACAGAAAGGCAAAAATACCCCATGCAGCAGAACCTGTCCCATTGCCTTTTCTCAGCAGCTGCTTATAACACCTGTTCTCAGAAAGATGTTCAGTTAACATGTGGTGAAACAACCACCCCCTACTTGTCTTTTTTTCTCTCCAGACAATGCAGAAGTGACAGAACTACTTTATTCTGAGTAACCCAGCCCTCCTTGTAAACCTTGACGGACATTCTGGATGCAGGGTCTCTAAAGGAGAGTCAGTCTATAGAAGTATTGATAGATTGCACAGCAGAGAAGAGTTATTTCAGAAGACCAGATGTGAAACTGCGTTCAGTTGCTGCTTTAAAACCAACCTTGATCCAAATAGATGAAAAACTGAAGTGTGAATTTCAATATGTTCATTTATATAGATACATTTCTCTATGCTTTTGTTGGATGCAAGACAGGCTGTGAAACTTACTGAAACTTCTGACCATTTCAATACCCAGCCTCAGGGTAGTAGATGATGTTCTATTTACTCTCCACATATCCTCAAAAAGTAGACTTCTTCAGGCTTGGGAGAATGTTTATGTTTGTAGAGAAATGTCTTGATTAACCTTAACATTAGTATACTGAACGTGAATTTTTTACTTTGTTTTGCTTTCCTTTTAGTTCATCATTTTTTTTAGCTGGACCCAACAACATGATGTGCAAATTACATAAAAGTTTAAAGTAATGTTCTTGGTAAAGAACAGCAAAAGTCCAATTCATGTCAAAATTAGAGAAATCAAGCTTTTATCAAAGTAGGAATAAAATGGAACAATTTATATAAAAGTTTTGGAGAAGGGCCTGTTGGTTTATGAAGATCTTTTCATCAGCTGCTTTCCATGGATGTCTTCAGCAGATTTCAACATCCAGATCAACTAAATCACTGTGCAATAGGTGACTTTAGACCCACATATGTCTGAATTAAAAATCTAGATGCTGTGTGAAAAATGGTGAGAAATATTTAAGAACTGTTACAAATATTGCCAGGAATATTTCTGTAAGGATAACGTATGTCCTGTCTCTTCATGAGGGAGTTCAAAGATCCTCTCTGGTTCAGTATCATACAGGATATTTGCCTTCTAACTTGGGTAGGGTTCCTTTTGACCACATGTTTTAGG